AGCAGTTGGATACCAAGCAGTTGGATACCAAGCAGTTGGATACCAAGCAGTTCGAGGCTATCTGATGCAACCCAGCTATCTGACAGCTTCCTGGTTGGTGAGCTGACCTCATTTGGTTAGTTAGCATTTCTTTCCAGGTCGTCAGGCCGGCGTGCTTATCTGGCTACAAGGGTGAGGTAGCAGACGCCCACATCGCAGCTGGTGTCATTGCGGATGAGCACGGCGGTACAATGCTATGATCAACTCGACGAGGTGCTCGCCCACAATGGCGACCATACGAGGGGGTGACAACACGAACAAGGAGGTGATTACACTTTTTTATACAAATATTTCTCGGCTGCCTCTGCGGCATTCACATCCAATGACGCGCATCGGTCTTTGTCTCGGGGATTAGCACTATCTTGAGGACACCTACCCTGCCTGCTCTCGAGGCAGCGTTCAATCTGGGTTGGATGGTGATTGGGATAGCTGTGAAAGCACTTGAAAAAGTTCCCCAATATGTCTACCTAGCTATATCTCTTACGGGTTGGTAGGGGTTCGTCGTCGCTAAATCGGGTTCTGTTTTGCCGAGTAGTATGATTCCCAAGACACCATGTTCGGGCAGCATTCGATGTCTACGAGATCGTGGAGTGTTTCGCCTTCTGCGTGGCGACAACCTCTGCTGACTAGCGGGACTTTGGTCTTTTGGTACTGCAGAAGCAGGTCGTTGTCGGCATGTATCTGCCAGTCCTCGGAGTCGGGCAGTTCCCGGGAACTTGTTATGGGACGGTCTGCGTCCCCAGTAGCTACGCCTGTAACCGTTGACAAGTCCATTTGTGACTGTGGCTGATTTTTGGGCGGCGTCTTGAGCAATGACTCGTCCGTCTGGGTCTTCTCTCCGTCTGGCTCCGGTTGAATACTCGGGACCGACAGCTCGGCACGAATCGAAGCCAGTCCAGCCCGAATGACCCGGCCCCGCTCAGCCGTGAGGTCGTGCCGCACCTTCACCTCTGGCAAACCCCTTATTCCCAAGCGAGGTTCACTCGCAACCGAATGGTCTCCTCCCAGACCGTCTCCCACCAACCGGTGTTCCACATCCTTGGCAACCAGACGCGCTTCCACGCCATTGCCTCGACCCCGCGTGCCTTCTGATCGCGGAAGGACAGCGGACGGCGCGCCTTTGGGTCCAGCGGCCTTTGCGGCCGCAGTGACGACCGAGACACCGCTCTTGTCCACCCGTCTCCTTCCGGCGCCGCGGATCCGCTTAATCAGGGGCGGGTTGTCCGTGCTACTGCGCGGAAGTTTGTCCTTCCGCACGGCGCTGGTCTTGCTCGCGTGTGTTCCCGTGACTCTCGGGCGACACGCCCCTTGCTGGACTGTTTCCTGCTGGGCGGTTCCCTGGTCTGCTGTTCCCTGGTGTCGTTCCCCACGTTCGTCTGAACGTTTTCTGTCACTGCGAGGATGGTCACTGCGGGGATGTTCCCTACCTCTATCGTATTGTCTGCTATCGTATTGTCTGCTATCGTATTGTCTGCTATCTTGTTGCGGCCCGCCCGGGTCATGTGGCTGGCTTAGTGTCTGTTCCACCTTATGTTGCATGTACTGAGCGGGCGGGGGCGCCGTCTCCTGCACCGTGGCTTGTCTCCCGACATGTGTGGTCGCCCTCATGGGCTCCGTGGTGGTCATGGCCTCGGTAGTGGTCATGGCCTGTTGAAGGTCTGAGCTTGCCATGGTAACGAGTTTTGTGAAAAGTCCACACGTTTCGTCAATTCGCTGAGTCAACGTCCTCAGCTGCACATTAGGCAACTTGCTACCACACACGTCCGTCAGCAACAACCGCCACCGCGAAAACTTAAGGCGGCGGAAATCGGTTACTACAAATTTTTGATGAATTTCTCGAATTTCTTGAAATGACACACTGAAGTCCACTATCACACTGAATTCATCATGCACGGGATCTGTACAACCGTGAGCTAGCCAGTAACAAAACGTATAGCCAAAACTAGAGGGGTCCAAGTCTCGCATAATCTGTTTCGCACACTCGCGTACCGAACTCAACTGCACCTCACTTGTTCTATCAATCAACACTGGCAATCCCCGCTACAAAACAGATCAGTCGTCTCGGTCAGCCTTGGTCGGTGGCCTTGGATAGGCTCCTTTGGATAGGCTCCTCTGGATGGGTCGCCATAGCGAAACGTTGGTGATGGACTGTGCCGCGTTGCCTTGGTCGGCAGTGTCTCGCATTACCCGAACCACCGCCGTGCTAGCGCTGACCCTTGTCGCCATATCAAAAAAGTTAGTTAGTAGTTAGTATGTCCAAGAACGTGTCACCCAAGATGCTGCCGAAGAGGCAGGCTTCTCCCGTCACACGAGCCACAACAAGAGCCTTGGCCAAGGTGACTCGTGAGGCTCTTGAAGGTCCCGGAAAGCCCGTCGGTATGGGTAGATCCGGGGCAGTTAAACAGGTCAAAGAGAGTGGACCGAAAGAAGGCGCATTGAAGGAGAATGCTTCGAAAGAGACCGGAACGAGGGAGAATGCTTCGAAAGAGGATCGATCGAATGAGAGTAGTGGCTCGAATGACGGTGGATCGAAGGAGACCCGACGGAGACGGGACCAGGGTAAGACGGTAGGTGCTGCCGCGCGGCAGCATGCCATCAAGCCGGACGGCGGTAGCCATGTGGCACGGCGGGAAGCAAAAGGGCTGAAGAGACCACCTGAGACGAGAACTGATGGAAACGCCGAGAAGCTGCCGGCCGCTCTCGCTCCGGCCCGATTGGCCGGGCCGCCTTTGATGATTGCACCAGAGTCAGACATCGACGAGCCGTACTTGCCACAGGCTCCTAAGAAACGATCAGGGGGAAAGAAGCGGACTGCGGCCGGTGGTGACTTGGCGACCAAGACGTCGCCGGCGGATGCCAAAAAACAGGTGAAGAGATCGCACAAAAAAAATGTCACCATGGAAGCTACACCAGTGCAGCGACCGGTACCGCAATCGGTGGGAACTCCGCAGCTACCCGTGAATGAACAGACAACCAAGTCTGAGATGCTAAAGACGGGGACGGAGGGGACGACAAAGGCGGAGCGCACAAAGATGAATCGGGCGACGGTGAGTCCGTCCGTGTCGGTTGCCAACCCCGTGGCGACGACGCCCATGATTGTGGCTACGAGAAGGTCACAGCGGTCGAGAAAGAACAATGAGACGAAGATCCGGACTGTGGGCGGCGATGAGCCGAGGAACGCGCGGCACACAGACCCGGTGTTACGAGAAAAACCGCACTCTGCTCCGGACCCTCCAGTCAAGACGGTTCGATTCCAATCCATGCCCCTTAGAAAGGAAAATGTGGAGATGGGAGATGCGGGGAAGGAAGATGCTGGGAAGGAAGAAGCCAAGTCGTCTGCTAAGAAGGTGGGACGTTTTACCCGAGATATGAAGATTGCATTGGAGGCGGATATGGTTAAGGCGCAGCCACCTGGGCGGCGCAAAAGGCCGCTCATTCAAGTGAGCCAGGACGCGGAAGACGACGAGCAGGTGCCTGAAAAACGTGGTGGCAGACCGGGCCGGAAGGCGGGTCGTGGAAGAGTGGTTGAACCGACTGGTGTAGCGGAGCAGACAGGCGACATTTACAGACCTGAAGGGGAGATGAAGCGGCGCCGAGGGAGACCCAGGCGTGAAGAGTCTTTGGCCAGACAGGAAGCGGCCCGATTGGAAGCACCGGCCAAGCAGGCGAGCAGGGGTCTCGATACGACTGAGGAAGCACCATTAGCGAAACTGAAGAGAAGACGGGGCCGGCAAGAGCCGGGTCCGGCAAGAGTTGGGGGGAAGTTGTCCCTTCAGGAAAAAAGACTTCTCCGAGGCAAGACCCCCCTTCAAGGAGAATCACCCCTTCAGGGAAGATCGCCCCTTCAAGAAAAGGCATCGCAACGAAGATCGCCCCTTCAGGAAAGACCGGAGAGCCATGTAGTTGCCAATGGTGTTGAGGACACGGACATTGAGGGCACGGGCGCCAGGGTTTTAGATGAAGCTATGCGCGTAGCACAGACGGGGTCTCCAGCTGCGGATGACACGACCGACGCAGCTCGACACGAAGGCGCTCGACACAAAAACGGTGCCCAGACAGTGGTCAGTGACGACGTGCCGGGGCCGCACCCGGCGGCGGTCCCCACCCCACAAAAGAGTCAGTCTCGATGCAAGGGAACAGCCCTGTCGCCCTCAGTCGGGCGGCGCATAACGAGACAGATTTCCAAGGCGACTGAACCGGGTGGTCGATCGGTCTCATCTGTTGGACCCGACCGGAGGCCGGAACCTGCAGTCGGAGGCAACGGGGCCGGGTCCAAAGAAAAGAGCGCCCCCTCGCCGAATGCAACACGCGAGTCTACGCGAAGGAAACGAGGCCTGCCCGACTTAGTACAAACGGCTGACCAGGGAGCCTCCGACCAGGGAGCCTCCGACCAGGGAGGCTTTGACCAGAAACCGTCCCACCAGAAAGCGTCCGATCGGAAACCGTCCGACCAGAAAGTCTCCGACGTCCTTCAAGTGCCGGGTGGTGGTGTGGTTGAATCTGCCAGCGTGATTGGACCGCCGCGTAGTTGAACCGGAAGGACAGGTCGGCGTAGGTCGGAGGGCTCTCGCATCCCCCGTTANACGTTGGGTCAGCGCCTAAGAGCCTCGCCAGT